CTCTGGCAGTGCCCCAACCAACTTGACAAAAAGGAAGGAGTCGGTCGTGAAGTGGTCCCCGGAGGCTGAAGCAGCATTTCAGTCTTTAAAAAGGGCCTTATGTAGCCAGCCAGTTCTATACTCACCAGACTTCTCAAAAGACTTTGTGGTCCAGACGGATGCATCCGATGTTGGCTTAGGAGCAGTGTTGTCCCAGGTTTGGAAGGAAGGGGGAGGAGCACCCGGTAATCTACCTGAGCAGAAAGCTTAAGTCTCACAAGGAAAATTACACCACAATTGAGAAGAAGTGTTTAGCAGTAAAGTGGGCTCTAGATTCCCTGCGGTACTATCTGCTAGGCAGACATTTTGACCTAGTCACGGATCACGCTCCCTTGAAATGGATGGCTCAAAATAAAGAGACCAATAGAAGGGTAAATAGGTGGTTCCTGGCCCTACAAGAATTTAACTTCACGGTAAAGCATCGCCCTGGAGTTCAGATGGGAAATGTGGATGCTTTAGCCCGGGTTCATGCCTGCCTGGCTACTGGTGTTACAACCCCAAGGTTGAAACAGAGGGGGGGGGGGGGTATGTGACAGTAGGCAGGTGAAATCACCTGGTTGCGTCCTGGATGGACGATACATTTGTCCAAGGTTTAGACTATATGGGGATTTGTTCCACTAGGGGGGGGGGGAAGTGCTGAGTCCTTCAGCACTGAGGAGGTAATGAGCCCAGCTGAAGATAGTGGGCTCATTAAGGCCTTATATAAAACTTCCCAGCCTGCTTAGGGAGTTGCTCCAACCTGGAACCAGATCTGTGCCTGAACTGACTGGGGACAACATCCTATCTGTGTGCAGTGAGACAAAAGCCTGTGTGGCTAAGCCTCCAACTAACAGGGGCTAGGTATAGCATCAGGCTATACCTGGTGGGTAGCTAGGGAAGCTATGTTGTACAGTAAGTATCCAAGTTGGCCAGGATTTGATGTTTCTTTTTTTTTTTTACGTTTTTTCTGTAAATATTGTAAATAAACTGCACCTTTTTGTTTTTTTCACCTCCACTGTTGTGCTGTGCCTGTGTTTTGTGTTGTGTGCACCCATCCAGGGGGTCACACACACCCACTGCCGAGCGAACCCCGTTACAGTGTTCAAACCTGGTCATGTCTGGGAGGGAGGGGGTTGGTGTGTAAGTGGGAGGAACAAAGTGAGTGATTGATCTGAAGATATCTAAAAAAAGTTCAGGTCTAGATATTTTGTGGGAGTCACATAGGGTTTGGAAGGGTATAAAAGGAGTCTGGTGCTGTGAAATTGTAAGTTTGAACTAGACTAGCTCTAGGACAAGCATGAAAAGAAGATGGAGGCATCCATGCCGGATAAAAGCCTGGAATGAGGAGGTATGCCATGAGTGGGTTATGGGGTGACTGTAAGGTGTATCAACTTTAGACTGTCCCAGATAGATGGGTAGTGTGACGGAGCGTAGGCAGGACAGAACACACAGAGTAGATGGCAAACGCACAAAGCTTTATTGAGACAAACAGACGGCAGTCACCGAATAGGGGAGTTCGCAGGGAGGGTGAATACGCCAGTCCAGGATGACACGGAAGGACCAACACACTTAAAGTCCAGCACCGAGAGCCAAGGAGAGTCTCTGTAGCAAGTAAAGTCTTCCCCAGCTGTGGGAGAAGGGGGGTCCTAGGCAGCCTTGGGTCTCTGCCAAGCCTGGCCACAAAAGGTCCCGGCCACAGCTCTCGGGCTCCTTCCGTCAGCTACCCAGCGATGAATACCTCGGGAGCTCTGCATCAGCTTCTTAAAACTGGTTGGACCCCCCTAGTCACCTAGGCAACCGGGGGGGGGGGGGGGGGCAGAGCTAGGGTGGCTCAAGCTTGCCTTAGGAATTCCTTTCATATTTGCAGGAGGGGGGGGGAGGGGCATGGATGAGAGATGGCAGAGAGAGAGCAGGGACAGAGAAAGGGGGGGGGGGGGGGCAGCTGTGACAGGTAGTGTTGAGTAATTAAGTTTTGCAGTGAGCGATGGTCTCTGGAGTGTAGCCATAGTAAATTGGCAACTGATAAGGGGTCACAATCTACTGACTCTATAGCGACCCATGGGGGGGGGGGGTCACTTTTACTGCATGATATTTAGGGAGTTGAGCAAGATGTGCAGCTTGGAAATATTTTGCAAAGTTCAGAAGCCCCAGACCACTCTAAGTTTCGGTAAGGTACGGATGGACCTGGGTAGATGCAGTTTAATAGTGCCCCATACATAAGTGGTGCCGCGACACTAATATGCAGAGGAAACAAAAAGGTATATATATGGGTAGGACCCAATAAAGGTATAATATTTTGGGCAGAATTGTCATTTTTTACAATCATGATACAACCCATCCATGAGAGGGGTAGTTTGGACCAGGATGTCATAAGATTAGTAAGGTGTGTTAACATAGGAGGGTAGTTAGCAGAATATAGAATATTGAGGTCTGCCATCAGCTTGGGTCCTAAATCAGGAATATATTGACTGGACCAAGAGAAGGGTGGAGGACGTTGTAGTTGTGACACAGTTAAGGAGGGTAGAGAGATATTAAGAGCTGTAGACTTTTTGGGATTCACAACCAGGTCCGAAATCGCTGCAAATTGGTCCAGGCATTGGAGAAGGTTGGGTGCTGAGATCAAAGGAGAAGACATGAAGAGGAGATTGTCATCAGAGAAAAAGCATAACTTATGATGATGACCGCCAAGTTCTAATCCTTTAATATTTGTGTTAGTTCTTATCAGCTGTGCTAAAGGTTCATTCGCTAGAAAAAGGGGGGGGGCAAGGGGCAGCCTTGCCTCATTCCCCTTTGTATGGAAAAAAAGTCTGACTTGTAACCCACATATCTCAAGTAAGCCCTTGGGGAGGTGTAAAGGGGTGATATCCATTGGAGTCAAAGGCTTTTTTTATGTCTAAGGAAAGGAAACAGCCGGGTATGCGGCGTATGCAAGCTGCATGTTCTAGCAAAATCACTCTGTGGTCTCGGCTTGGCAGAGGGGGGTTAAAACCCATCTGATCCTTGTGTATCAAGGTGCCTATGATGGAGTTCAGCCATGCAGATAGGATTTTTCTAGGATTTTAACATCCAAGTTAAGAAGGGAGATTGGTGTGTAATGAAGCCATGTGGTGTGATCTGATTGGGGTTCAGGTAGCATAGAAATGACTGCTGTTAGGGAGTCTGAGCAGAAAGAATAACCTTTGAGTAAGGCATTAAATGCATTAACCAATAAAGGTGGAAGGAGGTTAGTAAATATTTGGAATATAGGGCTGTAAGCTGTCTGGGCCAGGCCGCTTATTAGACTTTAGGGACTTGATGGAGTTCGGGACCTCAAGTTCTGTAATAGGTGTTTCCAGGGAAGAACATTGAGAAGCTGAGAGTGTTGGTAGAGATAGGCTTGAGAAAAGTTCAGTGGCCTGCGATTCATCATAGGAGCCGGTCTCAGAGTATAATTCTGCTAGATGTTTGTGGAAGACCTGTAATATTTTATTAGGATGGCTGGTGTGTGAAGTTTTTGTAATCTTTAAATGGACAAGTCTGTGTGTGTGGTCTGAGGTTCGCAGTCCCAGGGCTAGAAAAGTGTCAGGTTTGTTTGCGTTCATATAATGTTCATGCCTGGATTGGCGTAGAACTTTTTCATCTGATTCTGTCAAGAAAACATCTATTTCTAGCCTGGTCTTGTCCAGGACAATCTATGAGAAGGTGAGGGGTCTGATTGGAAGGCTTTGTTGGCCTGATGAAATGAGGTTTCTAAGCGGTGATGGATTGCTCGCTGTCCTTTCTTGAGATGTGAGGCTTGGCTGATACAGGCTCCTCTAATTACAGACTTATGGGCTTCCCAAAAGGTCAGGAGAGAGATGTCATCAGTTGTGTTATGTGTCAGGTATTCTTTGATGGCTAGTTCAATGTCCAGTCTGTGGGGATGGGTGGGCCATTTAGACTCCATGTAGTGCTAGTTTGTTGGGGTACTAAGGAGGAGAGGGTCAAGAGGACAGCTTTGTGACCAGTCCAGGGGTAAGGTATGATGGTTCAGGATAGGAGGGCTGGGGACATACCTCTAGTCAGAAAATATATGGTCAATGTGGGAGAAAGTTTTATGTGGATATGAGTAGTATGTATAGTGTCTTCTAGCTGGGTTAGCTTCTTGCCATGTGTCTATGAGAGAGCGTTGTTGGAGTTGTTGCTGGAAGGAGGATGTGGATGGATAAGAGGTTATGGGGGATTTGTCTAAAAAGGGATAAACTAGCTGGCTGGAATTGCCACATAGTAAAAGTGTACCTAATTTATGGGAATCTATTACTTGTAGCAAATGGGAGTTAGGATTGCAATTGGGGCATAGTATGAAGCTATAGTGACCTCTGAGTCAAGGAGGTGACCCACTAGAAAATATAACGGCCCTCTGGGTCCCAGATCCCTGCCTTGGGTGTAAAGGGAGTAGAGCAGTGGAAAGCTTTGAGTACACCTGTGTGTTTAGTTGCGGCAGAAGCCATATAAACCTGTGGGTAGGAAGAGCTGAGATATTTCGGCATATGGCTGGCAGTAAAATGAGTCTCCTGCAGGCACACCACATGTGCTTTGGCATGGGCAAAGGATTTGAAGGCCTTAATTTTTTTATTCCCCGAACATTCAGGGTAAGTATATTTATTGGAGCCATGATAAAGGACAGATGCAAAGCTGATTGTAGGTGTTGCATCATGGTCACATCATCACCCCTGGGACAGGAATAAGAGAAAGAAAAAGAGGAGAGAAGTGGGGGAAGCAAGGTTAGTAAGAGAGAAATGTCTGACAAAACAGGTCAGGATTCAGAGAGCCTTTATATTAGTGCAGAACACTGTACCTTTAATTTAAATGTCCTTGGAGTCTGCTGGGGAAGAGAAATAATACTGTCAGTCAGTATGACATGCAGATGAGTGCCGTCGATCTTAGAATCACCGCACACTTCACTCATTTGGGCAGTCACGGGGCCAAAACCAGAGTGTGGAGCCACAGTGTGGCGGTGGAGGCAGCAGCAATGGGAGGCCATACAGCACCCTATGACAAAATGGAATCCACCAGCAGTGTGAGGAGACCTGAAAGTGGCACATGGCAGAGTGTGGCGATGGAGACAGCAGCAATAGGAGGCCGTACAGGGACCCATGACACACTCTGGACCTGGCAGCAGCATGAGGAGGCGGTACAGGGGCCCATGACAGATTACGGGCCTGGCAGCAGCATGAGGAGTCGGTACGGGGGCCCATGGCAGATTTCGGGCCTGGCAGCAGCACGAGGAGGCGGTACAGGGGCCCATGGCAGAGTGGCGGAGCGTAAGCAGCTAAAATTGAAGGCCATACAGAGGCCTATGTTAAAAAGTCCCCCCAGCAGCAGTGTGGGGAGACGACTATCAAGAGTCCAATGGCAGAGTGGCGGAGCAGAAGCAGCTTCAATTGAAGGCCATACACAGGCCTAGGTTTAAAAGTCCCTCACAGTTAATTCCAATAACGAACTCTACTCCTCCGTGCAATCTACTTACGAGACCCTGGGCAGGTCTGGGTCCAATTTGTGGTAGAGACTGGTTTTGTTCAGCCATGCTTGAGCGAGTAATAACAGGTCTGTGCTGCCCTTTGGTGTCTGGCTTAATGCGCACAACACTGAACGTCCCAGCGTTTGTCAACGATTTGCCGTTAAGTGATGCAAACCCGCTGAACCGCGTTCATGAGGAGCCGGTACAGGGGGCCATGAATCAGTATGGACCTGGCAGCAGCGTGAGCAGACGACAGAGGCACATGGCGCAGGGTGGCGGTGTAGGCAGCATTATTCTGAAGCCATACACAGGCCTAGGTTAAAAAGCGGAAGCCGTCAGCAGCGTGAGCAGACGACAGAGACACATGGCGCAGGGTGGCGGTGGATGCAGCAGTATTCGGAAGCCAAACACAGGCCTCGGTTAAAAAGCGGAAGCCGTCAGCAGCGTGAGCAGACGACAGAGGCACATGGCGCAGGGTGGCGGTGGAGGCAGCAGCAATGGAAGGCCATACAGCACCCTATCACAAAATGGAACCCACCAACAGTGTAAGGAGACCTGAAAGTGGCACATGGCAGAGTCTGGCGATGAATCAGCAGCAATGGGAGGCCGTACAGGGACCCATGACACACTCTGGACCGGGCAGCAGCAAAAGGAAGCGGTACAGGGGCCCATGGCAGAGTGGCGAAGCGTAAGCAGCTTAAATTGAAGGCCATACAGAGGCCTATGTTAAAAAGTCCCCCCAGCAGCAGTGTGGGGAGACGACTATCAAGAGTCCAATGGCAGAGTGGCGATCCGGGAAGTCAGCGTTGTGATTGCAGATGCAATGCAGAGATTCTATGAGGTGATGCCGTGGGTGCGAAAAAGATCATATACCGTCGTACTTCCATCCATAAGACGGAACAAACTGCGAACCGGGAGCTTTATTGCCCTGACCCGCTCCACACGTCGGCGCTGCCGTGCACTTTGGCAGAGACCGACATGCTCAAAGACTGGCTCACCATCTCTTCTACATGTGAATGCAGGGCTGGCACTGCCTTTTTGGCAAAGAAATGCCGGCTTGGCACTCTCCACCGCGGCTCGGCACAAGCCATCATTTCTCGGAAAGGTGCTGAGTCCACCACTTGGAAAGGGAGGGACTGCAGCACCAGCAACTTGGACAGGAGGACGTTCAGCTTCTGCACCGTCGGGTGCGTGCTCGCAAATGGTTGTCTCTTGGAAACGGATTCCAAGAAAGACTGCTGACGGAATCCGTGAAGAGGAGTAGCAGGAGAAGGAGCATCTGAACGAGCGGAAGATGCCAACGAGCGACAACTCCCCTCAGCAGAGGTGTTGGAGCCTTGACTGGCTGATAGAGGGCGATTGACGTCGGGTGACGGAGCAAGTAACGGAGCGGGTGATGGAGCGGGGGCTGGGGTAGGCAGAACCGCCGTATCTTTATCACGGTTTTCCCAGGCCACCGAATGGCGACGCTGCATATGCGGACGCAACGCTGTAGTCCCAACATTGGCCCCCTTGCCACGCTTGACTTTCTGGCCACATAGTCGACATACGGCTACGTTTACTTCCTCGGGCGGCTTGACGAAAAATTGCCACACCGCCGAGTAGGAAACTTTGCCCCCGCTACTCCTCACTGGCTGACTGCTACTTCCTCCGTGCGCACCGGCACCACTACTGGCCGTGGTGGTAGGCTGCAGTGGAGCTGGTGCTCTACTCCGTGGCCGTTTGGCTCCACTGACACTGCTGCGACCCTGCTGCCTCCTGGGCAACCCACCGACTGTTTTGCTCGCTGGCAAGCTGGCACCCTCTTCTCCTGATGATGCGGAAGCAATAGCCTGATGACGACGAAGCTGCCAAGTGCGATCAGCCTCATCATCATCAATTAGGGTCTCCGCGTCACTACTAGCCCCCTCGGCTGCGTGTGGGTCAGGAGACAGACCTGTCTCTAGACCGGCTACCGAGCCACTCTCCTCACCAGTACTTCTTCGCCTGGCTGCTGAAGAGGCGGATGTCTCCCCCGTTCCTGACCGCCCTCTGTTAGCTCTTCCTCACTGTACAGTGGGGCTGAGCCCACAGCATGCGATACTTCGCTTGGTGAGGGAACACCAAAAAACAGGGGCAGGTCGAGGACACGTGATTTCAGTGGGCTTGCTCCCGGGCCATGCCAACTAACGGTTGTGTCTGACGTACCCACCGAACGTTGGCTGTAGGTGTCAGAGGTGACCTGGGAAGAGTAAGACGACCGAGTCAACCAATCGATGATGGCAGGGTTGTCGGTGGAGACACGACCGCTGGATGACACCGGGAGCACTGGCCTCTGGCTGCGACTAGTGCTGCCTCGACCCCTTCCTCTGCTGCCACGTCTGCTCGCTCCTGAAACATTGCCTCCTCTGCCACTCCTCTGCGTGTTGTCTGACATACTCTTTAATTCAATAAGCACCCCAAAAATAAAACCAGATTTAACTCTTTGAACGTACAATAGTGGTTGTGAAGCAGAAAGTCAGTTTATTTAGCACAATCGGTCAATTGCAGCTTGCCGTTGGCTGTAAACTGTACGTTTATGTCACTGGAATGCACTAATCACCCAAAAAATATTACCGCCACCCGGCGTGTATATGGATTTAACTCTTTGAACGTACAATAGTGGTTGTGAAGCAGAAAGTCAGTTTATTTAGCACAATCGGTCAATTGCAGCTTGCCGTTGGCTGGAAACTGTACGTTTATGTCACTGGAATGCACTAATCACCCAAAAAATATTACCGCCACCCGGCGTGTAAATGGATCTAACTCTTTGAACGTACAATAGTGGTTGTGAAGCAGAAAGTCAGTTTATTGTACACAATCGGTCAATTGCAGCACCAACTGTGCACGACAGCCACCAAAAAAAAAAAGGGTGTATGTCACTTTAAATTTTTGATTCTTTGATAGCTGTGGCCCTAAGTAACGATTCTGTGTCCCTGAGTAACGATTCTGTGTCCCTGAGTAACGATTCTGTGTCCCTGAGTAACGATTCTGTGTCCCTGAGTAACGATTCTGTGTCCCTGAGTAACGATTCTGTGGCCCTAAAGTCTCTGTGGCCCTAACTCTGTCCCTTAATACACACAGGTCTGTCTCTCTTGAATGACCGGAGGCTAATGGAGAATTCTAAGATGGCCGCAATTTATAGCTCCACCATTACACAGTGCTGGCTGGCTGCTGATTGGCTAATGCGATCACGTCATGAATGCATTATGGGTCAGCGCGCCTTGTCTGCGCGCCTTCCCAGAGATCCCCGCCCCATCTTCTCTGTCCATTTTCTCCGTCGCCACACATGTCGCCGCCATTTTTGGGAAAATTCGATTCGTGCATCCGAAGTTTGCTAATCTTCGGATTCTTCGCGAATAGAATTTTTCCAAATCTTCGGAATGAATTCCACTTCGTCATGTTCGATTCGCTCATCTCTAGTGAACATCTTCAGAAGACACAGAGGCCAAAAACAGGATATTAAATATCCGTTTGGTAGAGGAGTCAGGCCAAGGATAGACTATTGGGAATAAGATGTCAGCCTGCAGATATAAGCAGTTGGTAAGTGTATGCATTGTTCAAAGAGGCTATGCTTGGCTGGGTATCATGGGCATTAAACAGCATTAGACCACAGCTGGATGAAAGGGTGATCCGTTTGTTATTTTGTTGTCCAGCTATTGGTAGAAGGTTTAGCTAACAGCATTGAGCTGTTAGTTGCAAAAATTGTAGAATTATACTAAATATATATTTTTTTGTTTACAAACGTTTTTGTTTTTTAAGAAATAGACTTCAAAATGGCATTACAGCTTCAAATAGAATATACAACAGAAACAAGGAACAACTGCAGTATTCATTTCAAAGGTGAAATTATGTAGAATAAAGGGAAAAAGAGAAAAGAAAAAAAAGAGAAAAGAAATTAAGTACATGAGCAATATAGGTAGAGAGGGAGGCAGAGTTATAAAACGACCAACAAAGTAACTCAATCAATCAAAGCATAAATGGTCCTTATTGATCTAGTAAATGCCTGTGAGTTCTCCAAAGTTCCCATTTTCTGTCAAATAAATGCATCTTATCCAATAGAGTATAATGAATTCTCTCCATGAGCATCACCGCATCAACTCTGCAGAACTGTGGTCAATGGTACTGTGAGGGATTTCCAATGTAGGGCAATAGCCCATAGGGTGGATATACAAATGCTATGGATTAGCCTCATAACCTCAGTCTGAACTCCCGAGATAGGGGCTCCCAGTAGGCAGGACTGGAAACAAAGGTGGGACGTCCCTGATACATGGCGTGTAATCTAGATGGGGTATGATACCATCTGGTTATTACTTTGAGGGCCGTCTCTCACGGACAGAAAGATCTAGAGCTCTTACACACATTATCCACCATGGAATCCCAATCCTCATCAGAAAAAGTGACATCACTATCAGCCTCCCATTTCTGTCTATAAAGAGGGGGTGAGGGAAAGAAAGTAACCAAAAATTGGCGATACAAATCTGAAATAAGACCCCTGCCCCTAGGAGAGTCACGGCTAATATGTTCAAAAAATGAAATCGGAGACGAAGGTGTAAGACCAAAATGTGAATTAAAAAAAAGTCTAATCTGTCGATAATGATAATATTCACGAAGCGGGATATCAAAAAGTATGCGTAGCATCTCAAAAGTGATACAAGATCCTCCTCTCTGAAAGTCAGATGACCTAATAAAGGACCTATCATACCACCAACGGAATACCTGTGAAGATGAGAATGCTGGAATAAAATTTGGGTCACCAAAAAATGATGAACCTGGTGAGACAGAGGAGACAAGATTCAATTTAAGTTTATAACGGGATGAAAACATCAATGATTGGGCAACAATGGAATTATAGAGCAATAACGGGGGGGGGGGGGGGGGGGGGGGGGGGGGTGAAAATTTGGACCATAATACACCTGGTAAATAGAACGGATGTATAGACTGAGATACAAATCTGATCCATGGGACCTGGGAAGTAATAGTCACCCATTGTGATAGCCGTGCGAAACGGGCTGACAGGTAGTAAAGCAGAAATTGGGGAGACCTAGGCCTCCCGCCCATTGTGACCGGTAGAGGACCGATGAAGTAAAACGAGGGCGTTTGTTACGCCAAATAAAATTATTAATAATCCTGTAAAAGTGATCTAAGAACGTTTATGAGACAGGGATTGGGAGTGATCTAAATAAAGTAATTTAGGAAAGACATTCATTGTTACTGCCGTGACTCTGCCCAAGAATGAGATAGGGGATCCATGCCAGATCTTCAATAGAGGTGAGAGGCGTGACACACATGGTGGCCAATTAGCAGCAAATAATTTTGAGTATCTGGGGGTGAGGTTTATACCTAGGTATGAAATCTGATCTGTGGCCCAACGAAATGGAAAAGAATTGCGGAGAGATGCACCCAGGGAATCAGGAACATTAATAGGCATAACTACTGTCAGGAATGGACTGGCCAGCTATGGTGGGACTCACCTGCCTTTTGATCTGCAGTACAGGGCTGGCCAGCGGGTGTTCCCAGCAATCAGAGACTCAACTTTGCAGCCAGCTAACACCTGTAACTGATTATGCTGGGGTATTTAAGGGATGGCCAGACCCACAGACTCTGCCTTGGTGTTGTGTTTGTCCTGGGCCCTGTATCCTGTTTCTGTCCTGCATCCTGTTTCTGAACCGCTGCTGACTTCTCCTGCTCTGATCCCGGCTCGCTTCTGACCATCCCTCTGCCTGACCCTCTGTACCTCGCTGCTTGCTACCTGCTGAACCTGGCCTGTGACCCCGACCATTCTCTGCTTGCTCCCCCTGTACCTACCTGCCCAATTGATATTGACCCGGCCTGCCTGACGACGCTTGCTTGTATGTACTGTTATCTGTGGGTGGTTGGTTGGGTTTGTTTGCACTGTATTATGTTTTAGTATTGCACTGCGTTTATGTTTGTATGGTTAGTGTTAATAAATTATATTGTTTATCACATTTCTGAAGTCTGCGTTTCCCTGCATCAGTCACACACCTCTGGTCACACCCTGGAGCCCTGACATTACACCAAGGCCAATCCTGACCAGAAGTGGCTGCACAGGGAAGCCATCTTGGCTTGTTGCTGGGAAGGATGGATCTGGATGAGGTTGTGTATTTATATCTGCTAGTGTTTGATGACAGGGAGTATGCTTATCAGACTCTGAAGGAGTATCCCCGGGATGAACTGCTAGAATGTATACGGCTCGCTCATGTTCTAGTAGATCAGGGCACAGAGTTTTTCTCTGAGGTGCAGCCTTTGATTGAGGTTTGTGCTGAGTTGGTTTCATCTGGTTCCCCCGAATGCAGGGATGAATTTTTGCCACCATTTAGTGCAGACCAGGTAGAGTCCCTGGTGTGGTTATTAGAGGATGATGTGGGTTACTTTCTGGAGCGTTATTCCACATGTTCACCACAGACACTAAGAGATTGTATAAACGCAGTGCAGTCTTTGGTCAGACAGGCTTTGTGTAAGCTCAGCTTTGTTCAACCCCTACTGCAGACATGGACAGACTTGTTGCACCCAGCCTCAGTCAGCTTACAAAAACCCAGTCCTGCTTCTAACTCTACTCCTGTATCCCAACAGCTCCTCCAGTTACAGCCCAGTATACTTGGCTATCTACCGCATGTCAGTCCCCTGTTCCCACTCGCTGCACCTATCCTGCCTTTAACCCTGTAAAGAAGCCCTCTGTAGCAACTGCTCCCTCTCCTGTTCCATCCTCCAGTTCTTTTCTGTCTCCAGCTGCTCCTTTCATTTGCAGACCTGCGTTTACTTGCAGTGCTCCAGTAGTTAAAACCAGAAAAAAGCGAAAATTCTTTCCAACCAATACCATCCTGCCAGTATCCAAACCGGTGAGCCTGCCTTCCGTGACTCGGCCTGAAGCCTCTACTCGGCCTGAAGCCTCTACTCGGCCGGATGCCTCTACTCGGCCGGATGCCTCTACTCGGCCGGATGCCTCTACTCGGCCGGATGCCTCTACTCGGCCGGATGCCTCTCTTCAGCCGGATGCCTCTCTTCAGCCGGATGCCTCTCTTCAGCCGGATGCCTCTCTTCAGCCGGATGCCTCTCTTCAGCCGGATGCCTCTCTTCAGCCGGATGCCGCTACTCAGCATGATGAACTGATCCAGCCCGACGGTCCTATTAGGCCAGTTGACTCGATGCCCGCTGTTGATCCAGATGATCCGGTACCTGATCCAGTGCCCGCTGTCGTGCCAATTGACTCGGTGCCCGCAGTCTTGCCAGACGACTCGGTGCCCGCAGTCTTGCCAGACGACTCGGTGCCCGCAGTCTTGCCAGACGACTCGGTGCCCGCAGTCTTGCCAGACGACTCGGTGCCCGCAGTCTTGCCAGACGACTCGGTGCCCGCAGTCTTGCCAGACGACTCGGTGCCCGCAGTCTTGCCAGACGACTCGGTGCCCGCAGTCTTGCCAGACGACTCGGTGCCCGCAGTCCCGCCAGACGACTCGGTGCCCGCAGTCCCGCCAGACGACTCGGTGCCCGCAGTCCCGCCAGACGACTCGGTGCCCGCTGTTCCGCCAGACGACTCGGTGCCCGCTGTTCCGCCAGACGACTCGGTGCCCGCTGTTCCGCCAGACGACTCGGTGCCCGCTGTTCCGCCAGACGACTCGGTGCCCGCAGTCTTGCCAGACGACTCGGTGCCCGCAGTCTTGCCAGACGACTCGGTGCCCGCAGTCTTGCCAGACGACTCGGTGCCCGCAGTCCCGTGCCCGCAGTCCCGCCAGACGACTCGGTGCCCGCAGTCTTGCCAGACGACTCGGTGCCCGCAGTCTTGCCAGACGACTCGGTGCCCGCAGTCTTGCCAGACGACTCGGTGCCCGCAGTCTTGCCAGACGACTCGGTGCCCGCTGTTCCGCCAGTTGACTCGATGCCCGCTGTTCCGCCAGTTGACTCGGTGCCCGCAGTCTTGCCAGACGACTCGAAGCCTGCTGTTTCCGCCAGTTGGCTCGGTGCCCGCAGTCTTGCCAGACGACTCGGTGCCCGCTGTTCCGCCAGTTGACTCGGTGCCCGCAGTCTTGCCAGACGACTCGGTGCCCGCAGTCTTGCCAGACGACTCGGTGCCCGCTGTTCCGCCAGTTGACTCGATGCCCGCTGTTCCGCCAGATGACTCGGTGCCCGCAGTCTTGCCAGACGACTCGGTGCCTGCAGTCTTGCCAGACGACTCGGTGCCTGCAGTCTTGCCAGACGACTCGGTGCCCGCAGTCTTGCCAGACGACTCGGTGCCCCAGTCTTGCCAGACGACTCGGTGCCCGCAGTCTTGCCAGACGACTCGGTGCCCGCAGTCTTGCCAGACGACTCGGTGCCCGCTGTTCCGCCAGTTGACTCGATGCCCGCTGTTCCGCCAGTTGACTCGGTGCCCGCAGTCTTGCCAGACGATTCGAAGCCTGCTGTTCCGCCAGTTGGCTCGGTGCCCGCAGTCTTGCCAGACGACTCGTGCCCGCTGTTCCGCCAGTTGACTCGGTGCCCGCAGTCTTGCCAGACGACTCGGTGCCCGCAGTCTTGCCAGACGACTCGGTGCCCGCTGTTCCGCCAGACGACTCGGTGCCCGCAGTCTTGCCAGGCGACTCGGTGCCCGCAGTCTTGCCAGGCGACTCGGTGCCCGCAGTCTTGCCAGGCGACTCGGTGCCCGCAGTCTGGGGGCCCGAGACCTGTTGCTCCGCCTGAGGGCCCGAGACCTGTCGCTCCATCTGGGGGTCCGGCGCCCGCCGCTCCGCCTGAGGGCCCGAGACCTGTCGCTCCATCTGGGGGTCCGGCGCCCGCCGCTCCACCTGAGGGCCCGAGACCTGTAACTCCGCCTGGGGGTCCGGCGCCCGCCGCTCCGCATGGGGGCCCGATGCCTGTCGCCCCGCCTGGGGGCCCGATGCCTGTCACCCCGCCTGGGGGTCCGATGCCTGTCGCCCCGCCTGGGGGTCCGATGCCTGTCGCCCCGCCTGGGGGCCCGAGGCCTGTCGCCCATCTGGGGGCCCGGTGCCCGCCGCTCCGCCTGAGAGCCCGAGACCTGTAGTTCCGCCTGGGGGTCCGGCGCCCGCAGCCCCGCCCGGGGGCCCGGTGCCTGTCGCCCCGCCCGGGGGCCCGGTGCCTGTCGCCCCGCCTGGTGGCCCGGTGCCTGTCGCTCCACCTGGTGGCCCGCTGCCTGCTTCTTCGCCTGGTAGCCTGATGTGCCTCTGCCCGGGGTCTGCCCGATGTGCCTCTGCCCGGAGTCCTGCCCGATGTGCCTCTGCCCGGAGTCCTGCCCGATGTGCCTCTGCCCGGAGTCCTGCCCGATGTGCCTCTGCCCGGAGTCCAGCCCGATGTGCCTCTGCCCGGAGTCCAGCCCGATGTGCCTCTGCCGGAGTCCAGCCCGATGTGCCTCTGCCCGGAGTCCAGCCCGATGTGCCTCTGCCCGATGTGCCTCTGCCCGGAGTCCAGCCCGATGTGCCTCTGCCCGGTGTGCCTCTGCCCGGTGTGCCTCTGCCCGGTGTGCCTCTGCCCGGTGTGCCTCTGCCCGGAGTCCAGCCCGATGTGCCTCTGCCCGGAGTCCAGCCCGATGTGCCTCTGCTCGGTGTACCGCTGCCCGGAGTCCTGCCCGGTGTGCCAGTCTTTGATATCCCGCCAGTTACCAGACCCGGGTGGTGGAACATTTTTCCCAGCTAGGACTGTTTGGAGCGTCCTGAGGCCGCTCCTTGAGGGGGGGGTACTGTCAGGAATGGACTGGCCAGCTATGGTGGGACTCACCTGCCTTTTGATCTACAGTACCAGGGCTGGCCAGCGGGTGTTCCCAGCAATCAGAGACTCAACTTTGCAGCCAGCTAACACCTGTAACTGATTATGCTGGGGTATTTAAGGGATGGCCAGACCCACAGACTCTGCCTTGGTGTTGTGTTTGTCCTGGGCCCTGTATCCTGTTTCTGTCCTGCATCCTGTTTCTGAACCGCTGCTGACTTCTCCTGCTCTGATCCCGGCTCGCTTCTGACCATCCCTCTGCCTGACCCTCTGTACCTCGCTGCTTGCTACCTGCTGAACCTGGCCTGTGACCCCGACCATTCTCTGCTTGCTCCCCCTGTACCTACCTGCCCAATTGATATTGACCCGGCCTGCCTGACGACGCTTGCTTGTATGTACTGTTATCTGTGGGTGGTTGGTTTGGTTTGTTTGCACTGTATTATGTTTAGTATTGCACTGCGTTTATGTTTGTATGGTTAGTGTTAATAAATTATATTGTTTATCACATTTCTGAAGTCTGTGTTTCCCTGCATCAGTCACACACCTCTGGTCACACCCTGGAGCCCTGACAACTACTGATTTAGTAAAATTTACAGTAAGACCTGATACTGTTACAAAGTCATTCAATAATGAGCAGAAGTCAGGCAATGACACCAACAGTTTAGTAAGGAAAAGCATAACATCATCTGCATACATACAAATTGTGAAATGTGAACCAATAATGGGGAACCAGAAATGTCTGAGTGTGGTTATTGCAATTGCCAAGGGTTCCAAAACAAGCACCAATAATAAGGGTGAAAGAGGACAACCCTGACGGGTACCTCCGCCTAGTGTACAAAATACAGAATTGCAGCCTGGAAGTCTTATTCTTGTTTTGGGGGGAGTCATACAAAGCATGTACACCAGACAGAAATTCATCACTAAAGCCCATCTTCTGCAGTAATGAAAACAAGTATGGCCAGAGGACACTATCAAAAGGCCTTGTTAATGTCCCCGGCTCAGCAACAAAACTTCTTTAGGATGCAAATTGACGTCCTAAATAACATTTAATGTGAGAGGAATATTGTCCGTGATAAGTCTGCCTGGGATAAATCCCGATTGGTCCGGTGATACCAAAGAGGAGATAATAGGGGCCAACCTATCTGCCAGAATGTGGCTAAATATTTTCAGATCATTGTTCATCACTGAGATTGGTCTATAGTTTTGAGGTAAATGATGGTCTTTCAGGGGTTTAGGTAATAGAGACAGGTTAGCCAAGAGTATCTCCTCAGGAAAACTACCGCCCTGCAAAACATCATTGAATAATGACATCAAAGAGGGAGCCAATGTAGGAGCAAAATGTTTATAATAACTGGCCGTGAACCCATCAGGGCCGGTGCTGTGGAAGTTCTGAGTGTGCTAATCACACAGGATATTTCCTTCAAAGTGCATGGGGCATTGGGAGAGGATATCTGAGAGGGTGAGAGAACAGGGAAGGGGTATAGAATCAAGCCATGAGCCATTTGAGGAAGCAGAAGTTGGTTGCAGAGGAGCTAATAGGGTGGAATAAAATTTTCAAAAATACCCAGGACTTCACGAGGAAGAGAGGAGATACTGCCGGATTTAGTATGTAACTTGTATATATGTGGGGGTCGTATTGAAAGGTTTAATTTCTATGTGAACATAGTAGACGCTGAATTACTATGTAATAAAAAGGAGGCCTTCGACCAGCGTAGAGCTTTTTCAGTTTTCTGGGATAGTAAAATATTCAGTTCTAGACGCTTTTGCGATATCATGGTTTGTTACGGAGAGATGGATTGCCATCATGAGCCCTATAATGTGCTTCTAATTCTCGGATAAGTTTCTGAATTTGTTTCCATCGCTCTCTATTTCTAGAAGAAGCCATAGAAATAAGGTGACCTCGCAGGACCGCCTTATGGGCTACCCACAAGATGGCCGGGGGGAGATATCAGGAGTTGTGTTTGACTGAAAGTATTCTTGAATGGAAGTAACTACTTCATGGCGGGTGTTAGTATCCGTAAGCATAGAGTCGTTAAGTCTCCAGGAGTAGGGAGTAGGGGCTAGACCTATAAAAGTGATAGACAGCGCGATAATATTATGATCTGACCAGGGGCTTAAATGAATGCAAGCTTTCCTAGAGTTAGCCAGCAGAATGGGGGAGCAATAGATATAATCTAGTCTAGCATAAGAGTCATGTGGGTGGGAGTAAAATGAATAATCTCTAGCTCCTACATTATGTGCCCTCCAGGAGTCTACCAGTTGAAGGGTGTCTAATTTTTTAAATAAATAAATATGCAGTGCTTGAAAAATATAGGGAAAAGGAAATCATAATATTGGTATGTCTATGTACAACAAAAGTATAGGAGTCCCATCATAATAATGGAAAGTTCCATAGGAATAACATCCAAAAAATTGTAGCAGGTGTTCCGTATCTAGTGATATAGGTGCCAGAATCCGGTAAGGATCTGGTTAAGTTATGCACTTACCAGGAGTACATATAATATGAGCATTATATGTATAATCCTGATGATGGAGTCATCTGGATCTGGTCAGAGGCTGCGGTGTCATCCGGCTCACCAGTGGACACACAAGATGAATTGTCACACTCGGGGTCACACTTCGCTCACAGACTCATCACACAGCTATGGGTATGGGTATTGGCTCCACACTCCCAGACAGGCTCCACCTTGTAATGCTCGCAATAAGCAAGCCAGGACAAAAAATGGTGCTAATAGTGTAGTTGAGACGCCTAGCTGTACATGGCCACCAGGAAGGGCCACTTATTGACCTAATGTGAGTTTTATCATTTTTGTATCTTGGATTTGTTACAATACTTAATAAAAGTGGTACTACACTATTAGCACCATTTTTGTCCTGGCTTGCTTGTTGTGAGCATTACAAGGTGGAGCCTGTCTGGGAGTGTGGAGCCAATACCCATACCCATAGCTGTGTGATGAGTCTGTGAGCGAAGTGTGACCTCGAGTGTTAGAATTCATCTTGTGTGTCATCTTGTGTGTCCACTGCTGAGCCGGATGACACCGCAGCCTCTGACCAGAACCTCCTTGATTACTTGAGAAAAAGGGTTTCCTCTCAGGGCTTTCCCATTCCTGCTTAATGGTATCAACCAGGGAACTATGGACTGGAAAGACCCTAGTCTAACATACAAACCTTGATACATAAGGAGTCCTGGTGGTCCGCCTTTTATAGTACTGTGCTTACGTGTTTCCTGTCCCAGAGGGAGGAGCTCTGTCTCAGGAAGGCTGTCCTGGAGGACGTTTGGAGAAATGAAGATTAGAATGACTGAGAGACAAAAGCCAGAAATAGATCAGTGGCTGCATGCACGCCTCATTGTTAGGCTGCAGGTAGAGAGGCAGAGATGAGGCAGGATTTATCATGAAATACAAATTAAAGTGTATTATTCCACAATTTAAAAAGAACTGCAGGTAGTAAATGCAGAGAGGAGTTGCAGATGATACGATGGTGGGTAGTACATACAGGAGAGGAGTGTGGAGGTATGACAGTGATCGGTACGTACAGGAGAGGAGTACGGAGGTATGACAGTGATTGGTATGTACAGGAGAGGAGTACGGAGGTATGACAGTGATCGGTATGTACAGGAGAGGAGTGTGGAGGTATGACAGTGATGGGTATACATACAGGAGAGGGAGTACGGAGGTATGACAGTGTTGGGTATGTACAGGAGAGGAGTACGGAGGTATGACAGTGATCGGTATGTACAGGAGAGGAGTACGGAGGTATGACAGTGATGGGTATGTACAGGAGAGGAGTACGGAGGTATGACAGTGATGGGTATGTACAGGAGAGGAGTACGGAGGTATGACAGTGATGGGTATGTACAGGAGAGGAGTACGGAGGTATGACAGTGATGGGTATGACAGAGAGAGTACGTAGGAGGGTGACAGTGATGGGTATGTACAGGAGAGGAGTACGGAGGTATGACAGTGATGGGTATGTACAGGAGAGGAGTACGGAGGTATGACAGTGATGGGTATGTACAGGAGAGGAGTGTACGGAGGTATGACAGTGATGGGTATGTACAGGAGAGGAGTACGGGGTATGACAGTGATGGGTATGTACAGGAGAGTAGTGTACGGAGGTATGACAGTGATGGGTATGTACAGGAGAGGAGTGTGGAGGTATGACAGTGATGGGTATGTACAGGAGAGGAGAGTACGGAGGTATGACAGTGATCGGTATGTACAGGAGAGGAGTACGGAGGTATGACAGTGATCGGTATGTACAAGGGAGAGGAGTACGGAGGTATGACAGTGATCGGTATGTACGGGAGAGGAGTACGGGGTATGACAGTGATGGGTATGTACGGGAGAGGAGTACGGAGGTATGACAGTGATGGGTACGTACGGGAAGTAGATGCTGAGATATATACAGCACGGGGCAGCACAGTGGTTGAGTGGTTAGCACTTCCACCTGGCAGTACTCGGGTTGTTGGTTCAATCCCAACCATGGCACACCTGCCTGGAGTTTGCATGTTCTCCCTGTGCCTGCGTGGGTTTCCTCCGGGTACTCTGGTTTCCTCCTACACTACAAAGACATGCTGGGACATGAATTGTCTCCTGTCTAAGTTGTCCCTAGTATGTGTATGTATGAATGTGAGTTAGGGCTCTTAGATTGTATGCCCTCGGGGGCAGTGGGGACTGATGGGAATGTACAATATAGATGTAAACTGACGGCGCTATACAAGTACCTGGAATAAATAATAATAATACACCCAGATCATCGATGACGAGGAGGAAGGTTCGGTCACAGATGATTGGTCTGTCTATAGCAGGGACAGGAGCCGGGACCAGGAATAGGAGATCCACCTGACTTACCCGTGTGCTCTGACATGGAGAAGATCCCATGCTGGCCCTATGGTGGCCGTGTTGTTCAGGATGGAGACCCACAATCACAGGACTTTTTAGAAGCTGATCTAAAATGGCTGAGAGGAGGAAAGTGTTCCCGGGACAGGAAGTGACACAGAAGGAAGTGACAGACAGGAAGTGACTTCCTAAAGATTTATACAGAGGGTGCAGTAAGGAGAGCAGACACTAGATGGTGCTGGTCCAGCAAAAATTGAATAGTATAAAACAACAACAGGGAAAAAACCCTGAAAAGCAAAAGACGATGGCGGCTCGTAAACTTCCTATTTAGCAGCTTGATGTCATTGTCCCCTCTATAGGTACATCATCACGTGACTTCCTCAGGAGTTGGCCATCGGACAAACAGCTGCCTATATATACCATTATAATCCATAATAGACTAATTGGGCGCCATTATGTTGTAGCCTGTCTGTCCCTTATTTGGCAGCCATTTTCCCTTGGTCTAATATAGTGTTTTTACATTACAGTGGATTAGATCTCCCTCCTCCATTTTGTTGTAGCCCGCCTGTCCCTCCTCTGGCGGCCATTTTCCCTTAGTCTGATATGAATGCTGGCACATTTTGTCCCCTGATATTAGACATTAGCCGGGTGATTGTATACACACAGCGGGCAGATCTCAATCAATGTCACCCACTAGTCTATACTGTCACGGGGTTGGCCAGCCAATCATGTGGCTCCTATTCTGTCCTTCCAATGACCATTCCTAGTACATAGGACTCATCTTCCATACTACATTCATGATACAACAAGATGGAAACTGTTATAGAGTCATTGTACAAATACTGTGACCCGTCTTGTATCCGGGAATATTGCATGGCCTTCTACTTCCTGCTTCTGTTCTATGCTGACCTGGATGCAGTTCTGTTGTACAACATGATTCCTCACACCAGCAGCTTGTGTTGTCTTCATTCCTGTACATGAAACATGGTGTCAGAAGTGACTGGAATCAGGACTGAGCCTCTTGTTTGGAGCGCAGCAGCTTTGGGAAACAAGGGTTTGTGAACTACAGCCTGAGACTGGAGGATTGTCTGAGATTTGATAGCTCAGAGGCTTCCTGACAATATGGCTGCCATGAATGGCATACCTCCCCCAGAGGGGATGACAATGAGTGGGGATTGGAGCAGCAATTGGGAATCTTTCAGAGCTGAATGTGAAGATTATTGTCTGGCTACAGGCTGGAATGAGAAATGTGCAGGAGTGCCGGCAGCAGCAACTCTGAGAAGAGTCATGGGCAGTGAATGCAGGCATGTGTATAAACACCATGTGACCCTCACAGCAGATCAGCAACACAATGTTACAGCCATTGTAAATGTACTGGAAGATGATCTCATACCTGCTACAAATGTCATTTATGAAAAGGGATGTGTTTGGATGCTGCAAACAAGAAGAGGGACAATCTTGCATCACTTTGTTACACACTGGAGAGAAATGGCAGCAACTTGTGAATATGGCACTCAGAGACCAATTGATAAGGGACACAATTGTTGTTGGTATAGCTAGTGAGAGAGCACACGCAGGCGCCTCCTAAGAGAACATGACTTCACTCTACACACAGCCATTGAGACGTGCCGTACAGCAGAGCTCAACTGACAGACGTCTGAAAGTTATGGAACAGGACAGACAGCAGACCGACAGCATAAACATTGCAATGCAGCTATGGCAACAGGAACAAAACTTCAGCAACGCCGCCTGATGAGCACTAATACTGCCAACCCTACAGCTTGCAATACTGTGGGACTGTGCATGAAAGAATTAAAGAGCCGGTGTCCAGCTATGGGAAGTCTTGTAAGTCTTGTGGAAGAACATAACCATTTTACTACGTTTGTTTGTCAAGTAAACGACGGCCATCAATAGGCAAATGACACAACGTGAGAGAACACATCCGCATACATGGGATGTAATGTGCTTAAGAGACAAAATAGTGTCAGCACCAGAAGCACGTTACTGCCAAGTTGACACCAGATTAAAGTTATACTCCGGTGCGATGATGAAATCTCTAGGGCTCTTCAAGACAGAATGTACCATACGTGGACTAACACACAAGCTGGAGTGTGAAATTGTGGAAGCAGCCAAAAGCCACTGTTGTCTGGCTCATCCTGTGGGCGTCTAGGGTGAGACGTTTCTCCGTCCTGCAGAGCGTAATGTGATGGACAATCTATCCAAGGGGCCCTTGACAAAAAAAAACTGCTGATAAAGGAAGTTAGTGATGTGTTTACTGGGCCAGTAGAATCTGTACCAGGGGAAGTTCATTTTCCACCTTGATGTGAGTGTCCCTCCAGTCCAATGTGCACCACGCAATGTGCCGGTGGCATTAAAAAAGGCAGTTAAGGCACAGCTTGACCAGTATGAGCCAATGGACACTTGGCACCAGTGACTGACCCAACTGGCTGGATAAGTAACATGGTGATTGTAAGGAAGCCAAATAAGCTACGAATATGCATAGATCCCAAATTCTTAAATATGGCACTGAGACGATCTCACTACATCATGCCAACTCTCGAGGATGTTTTGTACAAGCTGCCTAAGGCACGTCTGTTCACGCTTGTTGATGCCCGGGATGCATTTTTACAGTGTAAGTTGGATGATGCAAGTAGTTACATGACAACCTTCTGGACTCCTTGGGGCAGGAAAAGATGGCTCCAAACTGCCTTTTGGAATATCAGTTGCACCAGACGTGTATCAACATAAACAACATGAACTATTGGCTGGACTCAATGGTATTGAACCAATAGCTGATGACATCCTTGTGATTGGCTGTGGGGACACAGATGAGGAAGCAGAGTAAGATCATGATGGCAAACTGCTGGAACTGATGAATCGTTGTAGGCAGGTAAAATTGAGACTTGGCATGAAAAAGCTGCAATTCAAGGTCAACCGAAAGTCCGCTTTCATGGACACATTCTAACCTGGGAGGGTTTGAAGGCTGACCCAGAAAAAAAATCAGAGCCATACTGGATATGCCGCAGCCAGCAAATGTGAAATCCCTGCAGCGCTTCATTGGATTTGTTACCTACCTAGGCAAAATTCCTACCACACCCTCTCAGAGGTCTGTGAGCCATTGAGAAGAGCTTCTGGACATTTTTTGTTTTTTTTTTTGTTTTTTTTTTTTTTTTGTTTTTTTTTTTTTTTTTTTTTTTTTGTGTTTTTTTTTGAGGACGCTGTTTGGCTATTGTGTTTTTGAGAATTGTCTAAATCGCTTCCTAAGCATGATAATGCAGTGCAGGACATCAAACGCTTGGTCACAGACACACCTGTCCCTGAAGTACTATGACGTTACAAAACCTGTAACTATTCAAAGTGATGCAAGCAAAAACTGGACTTGTGTTTTGTCTATTGCAAGCTGGCCAGCCTATCGCTTTTGCTTCAAGGGCACTGACTCTACCGAACAAAAACTACGCACAAATAGAAGAGGAATGTCTGAGTATAGTATTTGCCTGCCAGCGCTTTCACCACTACCTCTATGGCGCGACGAGATCACGGCAGAAACTGACCATAAACCTCTGATTTCCTATTTTCCAGAAACCACTTTTGTGTGCACCCAAATGTCTACAGAGCATGTTGTCACGTTACAAAACTATTGCCTAAATGTTGTCTATAAACCTGGTCTGAAATGTACATTGGGGACACTCTTAGCAGAGCTACAGCAGCAGGTGGTACACCTGAGTATGCACAACACACAGTTTGCAATGTTCAGCGGGACCTGGGACCTCATGGTCCTGTCACAGATTAATCATTCAGACTATTTATACGTCACGGACCAACGATTGCTTCAGATAAAACAGCACACTGAAAACCGATGAGAGTTTGCAGGCTCTTAAATATGTTGTTCTGAACGGTTGGCCTGATTCCAAGTTGGAACCCCATTACTTGTGAGAGAATATTGGACTTTCAGAGATGAAATCGCCATCCAAGATGGTATACTGTACAAGGGGCAAGCAAGGTCATCATTCCTAAATCTTTAAGATGGGAGATGCTGACTCGTATTCATGCCAGTCACATTGGCGGAGAAGCATGCTATAGGCAAGACGTGATACCCTATACTGGCCCAACATGCAAAACGAGATTAGAGACTTTGTTAGCTGTTGCTCGGCATGCAATGAATATGCGCAGGCACAACAGAAAGGACCTATGATGTCGCATGTGCATGCCCACCCGGCCTTGGCAAATTGTAAGCATGGACTTACTGAATTATGCTGGGCAGGATTTTCTACTAATTGTTGATCACTATTCCGACTTTTGGGAGATTGAGCTACTTCCTGACCTGTCTGCTGATACTACCATCAAGCATTGTAAAGCACAGTTTGCATGTTATGGCAGCCAACCCGATAGAGTAATCTCAGATAATGGACCTCAATTTGCATGTGAGCAATTCAGACGTTTCTCTACAGATTGGGGATTTGAGCATGTTACCTCACAACCCGAGGCACCCGCAAGCATTGGCAAAGCGGAATCGGCTGTCAAAGTAGTGAAGAATCTTTGTAAGGAAGGCTGTTAAGATC